TGTTTCAAGTGTCAAATCTAGAGGCAAACTTCCGTTTCGCTGGGTTGGTGGGTCAAGTATGACGATCCATGATTCGCAGGGCATACTAGTGGACGATGTGCGCCAATTTAAGCGAGAATAAAAGTTTTGGCCCATCGTTCCAAGCTTCTGTAGGTCGGCGATCAGCGAACCATCCGCTTCACAAATAGTCTCACTGACACCAGGCTTCCTGTGACCAGTGGATCGAATAAAGTGGAAGAGCTTGGAGAATATTGCCAGATAGAGCAGCGGCCCCCAGTTCCGAAGCACACTAAAACAACTAGGCTTCGCGATCACTGTGCAGGCATTGTTTGATCTGCCGACTGACAGAATGGTGCACTTCATTATGCTTACACTCCTTGGGGATATTTGTGCGGAGGTGAAATAGATCCAGCGAACGCGGAGAGATCCAAGACTTCATAGATTGCTGAGTAAGACCACAGAGTTGTGTGTCCGAAACTAGGATTAATGACTCCAACGGGGGTATTGAATTGACTGCACCCGGCTTATCCTCTCGTTATTGGTTGCACGCATCCGGAGACGCCGATGCGGCATTCACGGGTTAAGCTGGTGTAGGTATCATTCTCAGCTCCAAGGCTGAGTCATTGTTGATTGATTGGATTCCGGTGAACAGCCGCTTATGTGCAGCCCGTCTCACGACATCAGCTAAGGTGAATTCGCGAAGTAAAACAAAACGCTGTTTGTTTGTGATTTCCGCTTATGCTCCCACCGACTGCAGTTCTAATGCAGTCAAGGACACTTTCTATCACGAACTGAACGCCCTACTAAGCAGTGCTACTAGTTCAGATATTATAATACTTGCAGGGGATATGAACGCACAAGTAGGGCGTCTGAGATCTTCAGAAGCTCAGCTGGGTGGTAAATACGGACTTAACTCCGAACGGACTGACAACGGCGAGCGTCTGCTTCAACTGTGTGTGGAGCACCAGTTGTTTCTTACTAGCACTGCTTTTAGACACAGTGGGCGCCGAAGTGCCACTTGGCGTCCACCTGTAGCTGGCCAGTGATGGACCCAAATTGACCACATAGCCATGTTACAGGTGGCGCGGTTCCATTCTGGATTGCCGCACGTACTGGAGTACCTGTATCGACTCTGATCATGCCTTGGTGCGCTGTCGTTTCTCCATGAATTTTACCGGAAGGCGCACCAAGCGTCTCCTCCAATTGGCAACGGAGAAATTATCCCAGCCCTCGGTCAGGCAAGCCTATCAAGAAGCACTGCATAGCGAACTCTCGCTGTCTTGTCCTAATGACACTGAACTTCAGTGCAATAGAATCTCGGCCGCTATGCACGACGCAGGAGCATCTGCTTGTGGCACTATCCATCGTCACCGTACCAGTCACTGGATATTCGAGAGGTCGGTGAACCTGTGGGAAGCTAGAAGACACCTCCCGACTGGTTCTGAACACAATGTGACCAGACGGGCTATTAGGCGTGAACTAAAGCAGAGCCTACGTGCTGACAACGAAGCCTGGTGGACCAGTCGGGCTCAAGAAATGGAGGAGGCAGGAGCAGTAGGCAATTACCGCAAGCTCTTCCAGCTAATCCGCACCACTGGTCCCAGAAAACCAGGCGTCAGTGAGACAGACAGCGCGGGTGCGCTGATACACAATAAGGAGCGCCGTATGGCTCGTTGGGCTGAACACTTTCAAGATCAGTTCAGCTGGCCCCTTGCTCCCGGACCTCTTCCTACTCAGGTGATGCAGGACGTGCCATGGACGGTTAGTTTAGAGCCTCCGTCGGAGGCCGAGGTCCGAAACGCGATCACAGCCCTCAATCGTTTTCGTGCCTCTGGCCCGGATTCCCTCCCACCTGCACTATTTAAGGATGGAGGTGAGGTCCTCTGCAGGGCACTGACTTCCCTATTCGAACGTATCTGGAACGAAGAGAGTGTGCCGGCTAATTGGAGCGAATCGATTATAGTGGCAATATAAAAGGGCAGTCGCACAGACTGTTCTAACCACAGGGGTATTAGCCTAACGCCAGTTGTGACAAAATTACTGACCTCGATTATCGTTCGTCGCCTCACTGCGGAACGGGAATCTCGGATTAGGGAAGAGCAGGCCGGTTTTCGCCCAGGACGTGGCTGTATAGACCATGTATTCACTTTGCGGCAGGTGCTAGAGCAGCGCTACGCATAACGCAGATCGACAATAGCTTTGTGCCTGGATTTCAAGAGTGCGTTCGATTCAGTCGATCGATCGATTCTGTTCGAATTACTTGCACGAAAAGCTGTTCCCACGAAATATGTGGACATCTTTCGTTCTCTATACTCGAAAACCATAGGCCGCGTCAGGGTCTATGGTGTCCCATCGGATAGCTTTCCGACCACAAGTGGCGTTCGTCAGGGTTGTCCGATTTCCCCATTTATGTTCAATTTCGTCGTAAATTCTATCATGGAGTGTTCCCTTTTAGAATCTCACGATGTAGGCGTTGAAGTGCTGCCTGGTGAAAGGCTAGTTGATCTAGATTATGCGGACGATATCGTCTCGCTTTTCGACAATGTTGAGGCGGCACAAGCAACCATGAATAGCTTATCCAGAGTGGTCCTATTATTTGGTACGCACTTCGCACCTTCAAAGTGTTGCTGCAAGACCACCAGCCACTTGATGACCCCTTGACGCTTGCTAACGAGGAACTCGGTGGTTGATCAATTCACTTATCTTGGCAGCTGCATTAGCAATGATGGGCGCATAGAAACTGACGTGAGCTCATGCATTGCAAAGGCCAGAGCTGCCTTCTTGAACCTGCGGCATCTTGGGCGACAGAAGGGAATTTCCCTCCGTCTGGAAGGTCGTGTATACAAGGCCACAGTGAGGACCGTTCTGCTCTATGGTAGTGAAACTTGGCCCCTTCGGTCTGAAGATCTGAGGCGCCTTCAAGTCTTTGATCATCGTTGTTTGCGAAGCATAGCTGGTGTCGGATGGCACCAGCGTGTCCACAACGATGATGTGCGTAGGCGAGTACTAGGTGGTGATAATCATGCTAGCTATCTAGAACAACAGATAGCACTGAATAAGTTGCGTTGGTTCGGGCACGTGCTACGTATGCCTGGTCACCGCTTACCTAGGAGGGCCTTGTTTAGTCTGCCAGGTGTAGGTTGGCGCAAGGCTCGAGGTGGACAGAAGTTGACTTGGCAGCGGGAAATGAAGTCACTGACAACCAAACTGGGTGCCGTTGGCCCGTCTCGCCTTCCGGGTTGGAGTCCACGTGACTCACCTTGTGCTTGGCTCGAGACTTTACAGGACATGGCTCGCAACCGACACCAGTGGCGCGTCTGCTGCCGTGTCCTAATCGGATTGCCTGTTTAAAATGTGTTTGGTGCTGAGTTATCTGCGGGGTAATGGCTGATTATGACGCGTGGCAGTGAAAGCCACAAGGAAGCTGTCTCGCCGATGCCGCCTTATCTTTGCACGATAGCCAGCTGTTTGTGACGGTATGTTGTCTACACAAGGTGTAGGCGCCTTGAGCCTGAATGTCTGCTTAGGGCACTAAGGTTTGCAGGTAAGTCCCCTTTCTTTCCCTCTTCTTATTCTTTATTTCATAGGTCCTGATGGTTGTGTGGCAGCAAAGCATCAGTTCAAATGGCTGATGTACTGCTGTTGATGATGATGAAGATCACAGAGTGGCAGCCCGAAAGAGATCTTGGTCCACTACAAGAACGTTCAGTGTTCACCAATGTTTTGCGGTGGGTCGCAGTCAAGTACATCGGCCAAGGAAGATTGATAGCGCTGTTGAACCGAGAGAGTAGACAATTTATGTGTTTACCCTAAAGTGCTTCGATTTCGGGGACCATAAAAAATTCTGCTACACCTGAGGGAACGCCGCCTCTTGATATGATTGCGTAATTGCCTGATAAAATTGTCGCTGGCACGGTTGGAGCACGCCTACGACAACGGCTTGTAACGCTGGCCAATCGAACGGAGTTGCGCTGACCTGATGACGTTAGTTTAGCCGGTGAGACGGAAATTGAGCGAACGTGTGAACGATCCTAGCCGCACGTGTTCGGATAGACACTGAGCCCTCGGAACGGACACACACGCGAGGGGGTTACGATAGACGCGCGCTAATGACTTAGACGCGAAGGCTGGCCAGCTAACGACGCACACAAAATCACGTGACCCGACCGACTCCCAAGTAAAGTGAAGAGGAAAGAAAGACATGTAGTGGGCCCCGGCTTGGCTGCCTAGTGCTACACAAATGCACACCAAGCCTGCCGCAGCTTCTTCTGTGTCACCAGATAGACAGTGGGAGATCTCAACTCAGGCACGGTAGTGGAATCTTGAAAGCGGGTTTCAGAAAAACAACATAAATCAATGGTGAGGGATTCCAAGGTGCGTGCGAAGTCAGCCTTTTGCCATAGTTGCATTAAAACATGTCAGACGGAACGAGGCCGAAACGACGCCACTGGGCGAACTCTGTGGGCGTCGACGAAGTCATCGGCAGTAGAGGCATGGAAACAGGAATCAGCTGGTAACGGATAACAGTGATTGGTAAATGAACGGATGATGTGTGAGTAACGAAAGCAAAACAGTTGAGTGAGATATGACAGATGAACGGTTCATGGTTTTGAAAAAAATTATTGCTCACTGCAGACTGGCGGTGCAAACCGCTAGTTGCCATGGATTCGATTTCTAATGGGGCCAACGCATGCGTACCCCTGACTAGTCCCGATGGGACAAAGTGGCTGACGTAGAAAAGGATCCGGCTTAAAGCATAGTGTAGAGAGACTTCAAAAAGTACATAAAAAGGTTTTATATAAAAAGCATTATAACAATTGAAGGGAAGGCAACGTGATGTGGTAAAAAAAACGTGAAAAAATAAGGTAAGCGAGGCGCTTTGTAGAAGAGACTTTGGTACAGACAACAAAACGCAAATGTTTCCTGGGTGAGGCGGATATATATAGGACTGCAGAGTGGATGAAAGCTGCTTATCACAGTAAAAGGTTAAAAAAACAGGCTCAGCTGTGAGTGTATTCAATGACGAAACGCAGACGGCATTGTGATTCGCGGTAAATGAGATATTCGCTGTAGTGGAAATTTGATTGGTGCTTGCGCTGTATCGGTGTGCTAGTGAAGGCCCTTGCCGTACTATCTGGAAATCGAACTTCGACAAAGGTGTCCGAAGCTGTGGGGAAAAATAAAACGGGATATGACGGATAACTCGAAGAAGTATGAAGTGAGAAAATCAAGACCAAACGAGTACTGGATAAGAATTATTTTCGCATAAACTCTCATCGGACCAAAACGGTTATATGGAAGGAGTTATGTCTTATAAGCATTAAATCTGGCTAGAAAATTGATTTCTGAGTTGTTTGTAGTCAAAATCATAGAGGTGTGGCATAATATAGTTGTTTGGAGAGCTCATTTCGGTTTTGTACAATCCAGTCGTGACGCGCTCGCGAATCCTCTAAGATAGGCGCCTCGCAGTGTGACCTACGTATTGTGCACAACATAGTCCCTGCCATGTAAACATTTGGGTCTGATGAGAATTTATACAAAAATAATTCTCAACCAGGCACCCATTTGGTCTTGATTGCATCACTAAAACAGGAATATTTGCTTTGCTGAAGAGTAGCATTACGCGTGAAGTAACGAGTGGATTAAGGATGGCTATATAAAAAACAGCGCTGGTGACGAAACGTATCAGGGCGAAACTATAGTGAGTGATCGGCTTGCAGAGTAAACCGTGATCAGATTTCAACACGTGGTGGAATAGGGTGTGGTTGATACGCGAGCGCTGAGTGACTCGTCGGTGACTATGCGATAAACACTGAATGTGTGGTGAACGGTGCATACGAATGAGAGCAAGCAATGTGACCAAGGAAGTGAGACGGCAACAGCAAAGTTCATTCAAAGCTGATCCATGTGTCACCGCGGGCAGAACGAGAAAAAGGAAGATCAAGCTGGACGAGTATGGGAAATACACTCATCAGTGAATCGGTAATTCGGTCAGCGGTCGCATCACGTCCCAACTGCAACCTGTTGCATTTAATGCTGTTGTGGGAACGACAGTTGATTCCGCACCCGCTGCACGGACTGCAATATTCGCTTGCGCAAGCAATAGGCTACGCCGCATGGTATCCGCAGTGTGACCAACCAACTTGCAAACCAAGACGTAACGAGATTTCGTGAACGAATTCGTCCCGCCGAAACTCGCGTGCGCGTAGTGAATAATTTGTGCTACAAGTGAGTGTCTCAACCTGTATCTCATTCTCCTGAGCCAGTAAAACGATCGGTAGAAGGCCTGCCCTGCTTCTGTTTGTCTGGTCGGAATACGGTCGTGGGGGTCACGTTCGTATTGCGTACGTCACTCAATCGGCAAAGTTCTGTCACCACTTAGACGGCGGAGAGGCCTCGTACATGTGATTGGTCCAAGGTGCGTAATCGTCCACTAGACGCGTAGGAACGACTCTAAGTGAACTGTTCATTTGAGTGTGTCCAACGAAAAGTTGTTCTATAACAAATGTGTAGTAAAGTATGCCTTGCTTTTGAGCCAGGAAATGCCATAACACCGTCTGCGCAGTAATTTAGCACAAACGGAAAGTTCAATCTTATCCAGCCCACTTTCAAACGAAAGCAACAAGTGCGTAGCCCGAAATATGAACATCCACCAGACCGCATGCGTTCTAACGGTTGTGAAACTTTGCACGTATGTTTCTATAAAAATTAGGGTACTTATCAATGTGAATAACAGATATAGTAATAAAAACTAAACACACTAATAGTTCAGTCCAAGTTCCATGGTAATGGTGAATTCATGCCCTACGAAGTACATAGGTAAGATCACCACCACCACCACCACAGGTGGTATGACACGAGATCTCACAGGTTGGATCCAGCAGCAGGGGAGCGAAGTATGCCGCTGAAAAACTTCACAAACCGTCCGATGCACTGGTTAGTAGTTTATACTTGGTTCTCGTCGCTTCACTGTTGCGTTCAAACAAGTGAAACAAACTCAATCTGCTCGTATCAAATGGTACTTGTGAACATGGGATTTTTTGATACAATACTCATAGATATTCGGTAGCAGTCAATTTGCAGTAAGGTAGTCCCCATATGTCCAAAGAAGTACTATGCCTTTTTAAATTCTTCCTTAGGGAAAACACGTTCCTCCATCGATTTCTCAAGTTGTATCCAACGAGCGTGACCAATCTCAAATAAGCAGATATTATAACTGATGAGCACACAGAACGGGATGATATTGTTTGATTTGGGTTCCCTCACTCAATGGACCTTAGCATTCAACAGCGTTTGAGTCCGCGTCAAGGACCATCTTGAAAGATCTATGGAGCGCCATGGTTTCCTTAAAAGTTAATTTGAAAGCGTCATGGATGCAATTGGCTGGGAAAGGTATAGACGACATTATCGGACTAAGGGGAGACGTCAGTAATGCGCACCCCGTGGCTCTACGCTGAACCGAGCCCATGACCTCCCAACACTAGCAGCTTACGCCACTGAACCATGGGCAGCAGCGACAAACTGCCATGACTTACAAGCTGAATGCCATGTAGCGCGATTCATCTTCCCCTATCATGCAATCCACGAGTTTAGCAGATGACAAAGTTGGCCCTTGAAGCTACAACTCATGTACAGACCAAATTATGCCCATTCTTCGTCAGATATATATCCGAGTGGACGAATTTCGATGATGTGTTACGAACAGTTATTCAGTTCTCGCCAAAACGAAAGTCAAAACCAAGTGACTACCCGTCAGAAAACAACGATCAGTCAATTAGAATCTGATAAGACCTGAAGTATTCCAAGTAGATGGATAAAAGACTAGCTCGTGAATATGATCAGGTAGTACTGATACAACGAGATCAAGAGGCAACATGTGTTCCGTAACGGCTGAGTTATACGGTTCATTAATGGTTAACTCACTGCTGATTGGCTGGACAGGGGCAATCTGTTTGGATCGGGTCATGTGCAGCATTTGGGTTAGGCTTCCCTATATGACAGAATCGGTACTGACAAGGCTACTCGTTCAATCGGAGTTTGGGGCGGGTTGTCAGCATAGATGGCTGGGTTCCCTGTGCCGTTAGGGATGCCAACACCGATTGCCGTCGCTGCAGAGTCATTCATAAGAAATGCTACTCAAAACGGACATAATGGCGCCTGCGAACATACGTGCCTATGGAGCAAAAAAAACCTCAAGCGGGCACGTCACCTGAGTAGACCGAAGCTGGTCACAAGGTAGGGCTGTAACCAGCGCACTCCCGACCAAGTCACAAGCTAATTGGCTCCATTCCAAAGGCATTATTCGTCGAATATTGATCACTATGGAGGTGCCCTTGAGCAAGAATGTTAAGAGGCTGGACGAAAGCGGAGTCTGGCAACTGGGGTCTCGTGTGTACAGATGAAGCAAAGCATGTTGCAAGTGACGCTGACAGTTCGGCGGCAATTCAAACGGCACGTAACTATCCGCATGTCTGCGCGTGGTTGACAGTGTAGCGTTCGCTGGAATCGGACACGATGCACATTCACAATACATCGCTGAGGTTCACCGGCATCACAGATGCTTCTTGCACAATTCAACGTATAGCAAATAGCACGTAGGTGACTCGACCGAAATACGTTTATGCATACTTAAAGCATGTAAGGGACCTGAACTTTCCGACATCACACGGCCCTGGGCTTCACTAAGTTATCGTAAAGTAAGAAAGGCATCAGCAATATGCCGATACACAGTAAGGACGCTTCGCTGCCGCGCAACCACCACCGGTCGCACGTAGGCTAAGGATAATGCGAGGATCGCCCTGCCCCTAACGCAGGCTCGAACCTGCGCCGCAAGAGTACAAGGCAAGTTCGTTACCTCTAAGCTACGGGCCGTCCTTGAATCACAACAACGACACATGCGGTCCTCAGTTTGATATGATTGATCTAGAGGGTATGAGTGGTGCAACAAAAGTTATCCATGCTCCAGTAATTCGCACAGGATGACACGGCCACCAGCGGTTGTATGCGATTGGGATACACGGGTGTGTATGCAGAGGCGTTCGGACGCTACTCACAGGATTTCTGGAAAAGGTTAAAGCTGGATATGTGGCAGAAAAATTCAACAATCTGGAAATGTGGTAACATATATGCTAAGAAAAATATAGATTACCGGCTTCCGATACCCCTTCACCAATAACGCTGTCGTAGCCGGCAGGCGGTGCCTTGATGGAGGAATCATAGTTGTAGATGGAATGTGGATTTCCCAAGGCAACTTCGGCTAAAAACATGACCCGATGGCCATCAGCGTCTGACATACCTGAGACAAAGGGAGTGCGATTCATGGTGCATTAATCAGAGGGGGCGGAAAGTAACGGATTCACACAAACAAGTCACCAAAATGGGGAGTTATGTAGGCGACAATGGAATGCTTTCGAGACAGTAACAGCCACAGTATGCAGTAGCAAGCTGTAATGACGACTTTCTACTATACGGATAAGAAATCCCACTGTGTTTATAAAAAAGGGTAAAAGGATATATATCGTCGGTACTTCCTTACCATGTCGGTAAGAATATGGGCATATTCAGCATAAGGGTCGGTACGCTGTGATCAGCTTTGAATGGACAAGCGCTGTTGATTAGGTCACAGCTGCAGTTTGCGCGTGATTCGTCCATGGGCTTGGTGAACCAATTCGTTTGGGCCAAGCGAATACCAATAGCACAGGTCGTTAAGTTGGTGGTCGGAGTGTTTGCTGAGCTCATCAGTTTTGATGCAAAGATTTTGTCACTAACCGAGGTGACACTATCAGTGTGTCGTTGAGTAACACAGCGGAGCGATCCGTAGCATCCACGAACGTGTGTCGCGCAGTCGTGTGCATATGACACACAACAGCGTACTGAGGGTACTGCTTCCGTTGGTGACGGAACGTTTGCAACAACACAGCCTAGCTCAGTGAACACTTTGACCAGCAAATGAGTGAACTTCTGCTGAACCCAATCCGACAAGGCTTGCGACTTCGTGTCGAAAAGCTAGCAACTCCCCCAAAGTCGCAAATCGCATCGATACGAGCCACAACAACAATTTGATTGAGGTATACAACGGCACTTATAAGGCGCATGATAAGTGATTAAAGTGCGTCTGCAGGCAGGTACTGGAAAGCGCCGATGGCATCGCGATCCGATTCTACGAACCGAAATTGTGCGAACAAGAAAGATTCATTTAGACATTAGAATTGTGTTGAGTCAAACGGATAATGACTTCTGCTCCACAGAATCATGTACAGACTGCAGATAAGATCTCACTAGTAGTGTTTAACAGTATTCGTTTAAAACTGATCGCATCATGTCGATCCTTATGGTGAATACAAAATTTTTTCTGCACAGGACGGTACCTACATAATAGGGAAACATTAGTACACATACTTGCTATAGTTGGCAGCATCCGGTTTCAGATTTGCCTATCACTGTGGCCAGCCACAGGACGCCTGCGACTACAGAGGGACCATGGGTGGCTTGCGCTGCACCACCCACAGCTCCAACCACACACCCCACATCCAGTGTAAACCTGAAGGAATAAGACCGGGAGGCATGTGGATGGGAGTCACGTTTCATCAACGGAGTCGGCCCACACTCCTTCACAAGCAAACACAAGCCCGCTGTATTTGGGGAATCAAGCGCACACAAGGCGGTGGCTGGACCGTAGTCCGTTCCACACTGAGTGCATGGAACCGCACTTCGAGCCTAGCACGGCCACAAGGACCGTGCACCCCGTCCCCTACAGCAACGACCAACTGTCTCCTGGAGCTACTTGCTATACAGCCATACTAACCTCACTAAAGAGGAGACATAAAAAAAGGGAATGTGTGGATTGATTTGAAATTTACACGTCTCAAGCAAACGTTGAGAATGAAGATGCCCACAGCTTGCAAATATGGTTACATGGTTACAGACGGGGCTGATAATGGTGTGGAGACAAGTTGGTATCAGCGAGATTGATATCTTATGGCTCTGACTGCCCAGCAAGGTTAACTAATAACGGAGCTGTTAAGCGAACGGACACCCCATTGCTAGCAGCTCGGAACAGCTGATTCCGGAGCAGGCCAATCAATGAAAGCGGGCTAATGGTGACGCTTCACTTTGAACGCTGCCAATGAGGATGGTCTACCTTGAAGCCCGCCAGTGAGCGTTAGGCCATTCCCTTATTAACTATTGATTGGACCCGATTACTTGATTTGTTTACACTGCTTGCCAGGTGCTCGATACAATTTTCGCCTGAGGCCTTTGTCTGCTAAGTTGGAAAGTCGGTCGATCAGTTTGCGCAGTAGCAGCAGGTTATCCGCAAAATCAGTGGAAAAGCCAAAACAGGAGAAAAATTTAAAAAGGGCTCTGCGACCAGGAGACGATTCCAAATGTGCATTTGGTGTCGGATGAGAGCAACACCCCATAAGATTCAGAGGTAAACACAACCCGGAAGGGGAGACGGGTCAACGACACTCATTGAAGTGGTCAGCTACACCAACACCACTTGGTAGTGGTGTTGATGGCCGTTGAAGCTAGATCAGGTGATCAAAACAGGGTCCTCCTCTGCAAGTACGTAGTACGCAGCAAATCAACTCTTTCGTTGGCAACTGTGGATATAACGAAATGACCTGGCTAGCGCAATTCAGCACAAGCAATGAAATCAACGCAAGAAACGCTCTACAAGGCGGCAACAATGTCATACGGCTAGTAGTGCAACTCGATTGTGACGCAGTAGGAGGGAAATGCTGCCATGGTTTGGATACAGAAGGAAAGAAATGATCCATTGCATTTCAAACGGGAACAGCGTTTGAGCGCTGTTGTGGTAGTCATAGAAGTCGGTATATGGATGGGCGCTGCACGGGGCTTCGTCATACGTAGAACGCAGGGTGGATGATCTCCAGAACTGAACATTATCACCGGCATGCGCAGTCGAATTGGACTCTAGAGCAAGAGATGCAGTTTTAAGCACATCATGGGAATGGTCAGTGCGGAATTCAGCGCATCAAATAAATAAAATAAATATATAAATAAATTTGTACATTTACCGACGGACGGTACGCGGCCCCATAAGTGGGAGCGATCATTTGTATAGTGAACACGTTTCATAACATTAAATAAAAGTTTATTGATAGCATTTCGGATCATGATTACTTTTCCTTGAGTCCTAGACCCGCGCAACTCATATGTAAAATTTACGGATGTTTGTATCGTCAGGAGCAGATAATAAACGAAGGGACTATTAGGCTGCAAAGACACAGGATTTGGTATGGTATGTAATGACATGTAGTGGGTAAGCTAGCTGTAAGCTATTATCATATGTTTTTTATACCAACTTCTGTCAATGTTTCTAGTGTTTGCTGTGAGTCAAATATCTTCAGAGCATTTGGTATAGTGAGGAAGGTCTGAAGGAGATTTCGAAAAGTGACATGGCTTGTACACATGCGTATCTGTAGGGTAGTTTGTTCCACAGATAAGTGTCTCACTAAGAAGAAATTCGACCGAATTTTATAACTTGAAAGGTTTGTACATATCAAGTAGCCGCCATTACGTGTGGGGTAAATTGCAGTTTTCCGTACTTCAAGTGCGGTGCTGTCTGCGTAAATTCGTTTGTTTATAATGTTGTAGAA